AGAATAAAACACCCCTGAAGATGCTAAGGTTTTTAGCGAAACGTCGGGTAAAAACGTGAAGAACAGTGTTTTCTTGCACATAAAAGGGATCAATAAGCCTATGAAATACCTAAAATAATATACCAAAAATTGATCATCAACTAATAATCAAATTGTCTAACGTAAGTATTTATTCATATGTATATATTACTAGCTATACTTATAACTATATTATTTTGCAATTATCAAATTAACTTTTCAATAAAAGCAAGAAGAAGCATGTAAACAACTGTTTTCTCACTGGCAAATTGTTACAAGCAAAAATTTATCCAGTCAAAACTTGCAACTTCCCCTCAACATTTTTCTCAATTTGCCCTTCTTTGCAAGTTTTTTGCCAGTTTTTACGTACGAAAAAGCCAAAACATGAATATTCGTAACAAGTGTTACAAGTTTTTACTGAATATTTGTAATAATGAACTATTGTAATAATTGTAATAATAGGGCAATACAGTATTTGCACATTACGTCGCTTGGATAATAGATTGTCGTATGTTACTGTAGGTACGTTTTGGGAAATCGCGACTGACCACGAACCTGACGTGATAGAGGCTAACGGACCTCGGATTCGCATTTAGCGTGTCGAATAACATAAGGATATATAGGTTTGGTTTAACATGCATACACTTTTTTATGTAAACCTGTGTTATTTTTGAGTTTATTAAGGATTTTATATAGTAAAATCTTGTCCTTTGCCACAGTTGTCAACAATTTTTAAGCCACTTTGTATGACAACATGTCATAAATTAAATAAACTTTTGTAATAAATCAAATAAACTTTTTACTCAATATGGATGAAACCATTTGAAAGACCTAAACTATTTTATTATGACTGCTAAACTTCCAATAAAATTTTAGTCAATATCTCGGAAACTAAAAAAGATATGCAAAAACTGACAACATTAACAGAAAGATCTTATTTTAAAATATAGTCTAACTGCATCCATAGCTGAAAAATTTAAAAATGACCCTTACGACAATCTTTTATCCGGGCGAAAGTTAGTATTTACTACTTTAATAGGAAGTACTTATTATGACATTTGTGAATACATATATTATAACATGAGACAGACATATGCATACATATATGTGTATGCACTTATACTACGTAAATATACAGTTAATGCCATTTGGTGGTCAAATTCTGATAAAAATTCGAAAGCGCAAACACTTCCAGAAAGCCGCTTATAGAGATGTTCGATTTTCAGCAACACTCATCCATCAGTAGAGATGTACATATGCGTGCACATACTTATGCAGGTAGGAGTAACTGCGTAGTTTTACTCATTCATACGTATGTATTTGCATACACAGTTATTTGCCTAAAGTGTACTTATCAGAAATTCAAACAAATTCCTCGTGATCCTTCAGCATTAATTGCAGCTCGGGCTGTCTACTGGCCGACGAAGAACTCCGATGCTGTAGGCTGGAGCCATGCACGGTTACATTGGTGGTGTGCGGTGCCGAAAGGCTGTGCTTATACTTCATCGCACTCTTCTTGCAAATGCCAAATCTGCAAGGAAACATTTTTTTCAGAATTACTAACAAAATCTAATTGCGTTGGAATTTTTGGCAAGTAAAAGTTAAGAGTAAATTATGTTAAATTGGTAGATATGTGGCTTACTTGGAAAGCAGGGCAAAGAGATCCGTTCGGTACTGTGATGTGAGTATGGCATACAAATATGGATCTGCGCAGGAGTTCAAAGGGTAGAAGAAAACCAGGAGGATTTTCGACTTAGTCACGTTTATCAATGGATAACCGGCGAGTGCTGTTAAACCAAAGAATGCAATGGGCGCCCAACAAGAGAAGTTCGTGAAGACCTGCAAAATAAAAATGAAATCTATGAAATACTTAATGTTGTAAACTACCTCACCACTAGTATGAACCGCATGCCCAACTAGTCAGCCAACTATCTTTTTTCCATGCAATCAACTGGTCACGGTGTCCTTAAACCAGATTCAACAGAGTCGGTCTAGAGCGATGGAATTTCCGATTAAACTATTTCGGGGGTTGATCCCGAGTAAGAATATGTGAAGTTCAAAATCGTGGCAAGTGCCGATTTCAAAAACGGTAACTCTTTCGATTATCAGGTGGTTTTCGATATGGTCCTAGATGGATGGGTATATATATTTACATATATTCAAGTCGATTGTATACATATTTATACATATATGTAGGTGCAGGCCCGACTATAGGGTGGGGGTGTTTCCCCCCGGTCGCGGATTACTTTTTCCTTAAATTCAGTCGGACGATAAAAATTATAAAATTTTGTTAAATTTGATTATTTAATATTCACTTAGCTTTTATAATAACCAATGAGTGCGAAGTCGCATGTCTAGATACACATGCAAGTGTGGTAAGGTCATTTCCATGCTAGTCAAAATAACCGCCAATCAATCTGGCCTATTATGAAACATAGAAAGGTTCCGAAGTCAACATGTTTTGTCTAAATATTGCGATCGTAATGATTTTCCCATGGTTCATGAAAATTTTTGAGCTCGAAATTGTACAAAGACCTTCAGAGAGACTCGAGGTTATTTACAACAATAGAAGACGAGTTTCTTGCATACAGCCCATATGAGCTTAAAGGAACGTATTTACTAAAACAATAAAAAATATTTTAAGCATTCACTTGATCCGTACAACAAATAGCAAAACAAATTCTGCCTTTAGTTGAAGTTTTTCTTAATGTTGTATTATTAAATGAAGAAAACTAACCAATAAAATAGTACCTATAAACTTAACAACTTTATATTAAACTTTATAGTATAAAATAATAAGTATTTATACTTAATTTTATTGAAACCAGATAAAAGTTGGCCGTTATAAGTGGACGAAAAGCTGGCTATTGTAGTAGACGACTACGAAATTTCCCAGAGGCTGTGCATGTATATATGTATGTACATATCGAGCTCTAACCGCCAAAATAACGTAAGCGAACTTTTTTTTCAACATTTTCTTTTTGATGCAGAAATGCATCTAGATGCTCTAGGAATATTTCTGCATCAAAAAAAAGTTTGAAAAAACAGCTTATTTAGTTATTTATTATTTTGGCGGTTAGGGCTCGATATTTAAAAAATTACTCATATACCGTCTTATTTATACTATACTTAAATGCGAAAATGTCGGCTGAAAATCGAAAAAGTTGTAGTTTTTGAAATCGGCACTTGCTACGATTTCAAACTTCGCATATTCTGACTTGGTAACGTCCCCCCAAATTAGTCTAATTGGAAATTCCATCGTTCCAGACTGACTCAGTTGGATTTGGTTCAAGGACACCGTGTGGTGTTTTTAACATGGGGATATCTTACGAGATAGCAATTGTCAGATTTCTGTCAGAAATATACTAGTCTCAATCTAGTTCAAAATAGACCGAAAAATACTTGTCCAATTATGGACTGAAACCACTACTTTGGGAGTCTAAAAATAAATTGAGTTCTTAAATATACAATAAAACGTTTGATTAAGTACACTTTAATATATTACACATTTTTATTTAGCAGCCTTATATATATATATATATGTATAGATTGGCGCTTACACATATGTTAGTGTTTGGCCGAGCTTCTCCTCCGATTTGTGGCGTGCGCCTTGATGTTGTTACACAAAGAGGAGGGACCTACAGTTTTACGCCGACTCCGAACGGCGATTGTATTTTTATGAGAAGCTGTTTTTCAAGGCAGAAATACACTCGGAGGTTTGCCATTGCCTGCCGAGGGACGACCGCTGTTAAGAAAAAACCTTTTATCTATATTTTTGCGATGTTGCTTTGACCAGGGTTTGAACCCAGGTGCTGCGGAGTGGAAGCTCGCACTGCTTACCACTACACCACAGCAGCCTTAGATTTGCCAATAATTAGTGTTAAATTTTTTGAGTATTAATTAAAAGGGAAAATAAATACATAAATATTAATGTCAAATATTCAGTCCAACAAGCATACATGCATATGTTTCGAAAGATAAATTTACATGTTGTTGCCACACATTTTATTTTACAAAGCGCTATATACTTAACACTCCCTCTCGCCTTTTTAAAAATAAAATAAATTAATGATATACAGAAATTCAACAAAATTTTAATAACTCAGTGAGAGGGGAGACCAGTATGTTTGCATGTATGTATAT